CACACACACACACACACAACCTCAAAAACAATAATAATAATAAAAAACCCCGGCCTGTGTATCAACAACAGCCCCGCCCACCTGTTCGTCCCTCTCCTCTGCCGCAGCATGGCTGCGGCTGGTCCACTTGTTACTATAAAAACTGCAACTGTCTATATGTAATGAGCGCCAAATGATCCGAACAGATACAACTTGTATCTCAACCGAAAGGCCGAGAAAGGCCCATTACGTGTGGAAAGAATAGATGTTTGAAGCATCCTACCTCCCCAAGGTGGCGTGGGAGGTAGTTACACGGCCTAAGAGAGAGGGAGGCCTTCCATTCTCGACCCGCCGTACCAAATTGGAGCGTTGTTGTCCCAATTGGTACCATGGGCGCTTTAAGCAGGGTCTTCTCCCCGTGGAGACAATTGGCTGAATTTGCACTTCTTGATGGTTGGGACTGGCGGACACCGTGTTGTATTTGGATAGCAGCCCTCCATCATTGGTACCTTCGTAAGCGGGTTCCGTGCCGCATATGGGCAGGCATTTTGTGGGAGTGGCGACGCTGCTGTCCTCAACTGCTCCCTCCACCCATGCTGACAGACCAAATACTGACAAAACCACTCTTTGATAACCCGTTTATTCTCACCTCGAACGATCACCCCTTCCCTGTTTCAGGTGGCCGTTAGTGACCGACGAGGCGCTGGTGGACATATGCTACAACCCGGACTACAAGCTAGAGGGCAAGATCCTTGACCGGATGCTTCGGTTCGAGGAGCTTCACGGTCCCGCACCTGCGATGGATCCGCGCACTGGCAGGGACGAGGGAGGGGCGGGAGGGGCGGGACAAGAGAGGGGTGAAGAATAGGTGGTCGACGTGGACAACGTCGAGGACGAGGGTGCGGAGGCAGCGAGGCCTGACCCATCGACGAGGGACCGAGGGAAGGACGTCAATCACGAGCCGTGGGGCCAGCAAGGCCGTTTCTTTCAAGATGCGTACATGTCGGCTCGCACTTAGGCGCATCGGGACGCGGAAGACGAGGCGACTGCTGTGGGGAAGAGAAAGGAGCGAGAGGAGGGGGCGAGGCCGGGTGGGCAGAAGCGGATGAGACAAAACACCATCACGGAGTTGTATTCTTTGCAATGGCAGATAGAGTTCAAGAAGAAGTTTCTGAGGTTTGTCTACAGTCAACGTTTGCCATTCAACGTCTTCCGGAGCGAGTCATGGCAAGACTTGGTCAAACACTTCAGGGACTTGTCGAGGCCAGTAAAGGTTTTGTGGCCGTCGCACAAAGAGATCCCCGACATGGAGATGGTTGCCCGCACTGCGGATGATGTAGCGGGTGATCTCGTAGAGGTCAGGTCTCCTTTTTATGTGATGGGGGCCACCATCATGTCGGATGGCAGGAAGTCGCGGGATGCCAGACCAATCGTTAACTTCCTTGCCGGCGGGTCGTGCGGAGTGATGATGGTGAGGACAATGAACAAGGAGGGCGAGTGAGACCAGGCGCTTGATGTTTTGGCGCGCTGGATCAACTTGAAGGTGTTCGATGACTTCCCTCCTCGGTGGATGAACGCCATTCGCACGGACTCTGCCTCTGCGTACGTCGCCGCGACAAATATGCTCCAGGGGCCCCATCAGAGGTCAGAGATTCAACAAATCACGTGGCTGCTATGCGTAGTGCATGTCTGCAATAAAATGTTGTTTGACATTGGCTTGTCAAGCCCGTGGTCAAAGGACATCATTGTGCGTGGGAGAGCGTTGGTGCGCTTCATCAAGGAGCACAGCGCCGCTCTGCATATCTTCAGGGGGGAGAGCACGCACATGGGACCTTTTCATCCCTGCGAAACACGATTCGCATTCGTGTTCACTATAATGGAGTGTCTGCTGGCAGTGAGGTCAGTAGTGGAGAGGACGGTGGACGACGACGATTGGGGTTTGGTCCCTTGGGACAGTTCCGTAGCTCAGCTGGCTCGGTGGGTTAGGTGGCGGGTGCGGCATGGTTCTTGGTGGGATTCCATGGGAGTCCTTGTCCGCATTATGGAGCCCGTGCATGACATGCTTCGCAAGTTGGGCCGGGGAGGGCTGCACATGTCGCTGGTTGTGCAGTGGACGYCGGACGTGACCCGTGATGTAGCATGCGAGGTCCGCGCACTTCCACCACGTGTTGCGCACTTCATTATGCAGAAAGTGCAGGCTCGGTGCGCTCACATGTTGGAGCCGGTGCACGCCGCTGCTCACCTTCTGTGTCCCAGTCGCCGAGACTTGAGGTACTACGAGGGCGTCGTCGGCGATTACGATGTGAGACTTGTGCGGGAGGCTGAGACGTACATCCTCACACAGACTCGGTTTAGTGAAGCGAGCCCCGATTGGATGTGGAGGGATGGAGACACGGAGACACAGAGGTGTACCGGCGATGTGGAGAAGTACAAGGCCGGTTGTTGGTGGTCGAATTGGGGACAGTGCGCCCCGCAGCTGCAGGTCATCGCTCTTCGTGTCATGTACATGTGGACATGTTCCTCTCCCGCAGAGAGGAACTGGGCCGTCCACGAGGCTGTGCGCACGAAGAAGCACAACAAGCTTGAGTTCGAGAAGGTTGCGAAGTTGGTCGAGATCTCGGCCAACGTCCGCCTTCTCTCTCACCAGTGGGCTGGCTGCGGTTTTGCGTTGCCATGGACGATCGATGAGTCGATGTTGGATGTGGAGGGAGGCATAGGGACGCAGCCGTCCTGGCAGGGGACGGACGCCGGCAGGACACAGGAGGACCGGGAGAGGCAGAGACGTGCGTGGACGCGAGACCCATGTGGGTCGAGAGCTCCTCGGGGAGAGGTTGGAGAGGTTTTTGGGACTCGAGTTGCCACGTTGCGCCCCTACCCCAGTGATGACGACAGTGATGACGAGGGCCCTGAGGGGGACGACAAGGGGGCAGGACCTGCTGACCATCCGGCCTCATAAGAGGCTGATGAGTGGAGCGACCTGGAGTACGTCTGTAGACGTAGCGGCGGGGGCGACCTTTTTGGTGGAGGTGACGGGAGCCCTTTTGAGCGAGAGTGGCCTTCGTCTCTGGGGCCCCAGTCCATCGATACGCAAGTGGTGCACGGATCTGCGCGTTCGAGGGGGCCAGAGTCAGCGATGGGTGGCGGCGTTCCTGGGCATATCAGAGGTTCGCCCCCCAGAGGGCGACTGCATAAATTGGTGAAGGGCCCGAGACAGTGATTAGACGAGAGATTGTCGGGCGGTCCTTCACTGGGTGAGAGGGTCGAGAGAGATGTGGATAGCAGATAGTTATCATGGTCATAGTCTTTGCAGTTCAGAGGTTAGTGGAAAACTAGGTTATGACAAGCGGAGAATCCCAAGTTCTTAACAGGCACAAGTAATCAGAGGTAGTTTAAAATTCTGACTTTGAAATAGAAGCAAAGTCAACACTTTAAGGAGGCATAAGCCTGGAAGTAGGCTTTTGAATCTGAAGATAGATCAGGACACGTCGAAGTAACGCCCCAATTCCCGAGGCGAATTAGGAGGGCTCGTCCTTGATCTCGATGCACTGATTTGATTAGGGATTTGACACTTCCTTCCGTGGGTTGCCACTTCTTAATCCGCTCCAACTGGCTCCGTCGTAGTTGTAAGTGGGATGAAGATAGGTCGCACATTTCAGACACATCGCTTCGTTACTACACACCAAGACGGCGAAATTCAAGTTTGCTCTTCCTCCTCCTGCGAAGTCGGAGCTGAAGTCTGATCCGAGTCTTGAATGACTTAGACTGGTGATCCAAGATCCTTCTCCGAATTTAAACAGTTCTTCTATTTGAAGAATCTTTCTTTCCTCCCTCGACGCTTCTTTCAAAGTCTTTGAGACGAGTGTTTTTACTTCTACAATTCTGAATCCTTCCCATTCTATTGCCTCCATCTCTTTCAGTAGGTTTGTGACTAATTGTCTCGTTGAACTCCCAGCGAAGGCAATGATCAGTTCTAATGCCACAAACTGTTACCTTCCCCTTCCTTCCCAGACTCTGGTTTCCGCCTCACATGCCTCCTTCACCGACCTCAGTTCGTCCTTGCTCAGCTCATCGATCGATCTCCCGAAGATTCTTGCGACGACGAATCCGGCAAACAGTTCACCTAGGATCCAATGATCCATCATTCTTTCTACAACTCCCTTCTCAACCACCCAGATCTTCCCTCTTCCACTTAGTTTGTCCACGACACAGAAGGAATTACGGTTAAAGTATTTGAACAGCACGTTGTTGGGAGAAAACCCGGGGAGGGGCTACCTACCGTTCGCYGAAGCCATGGGCTACGGCGCCTGTCACTTCGCCGCGCCCGCTTCCGAGGTCCTCGGCGACCAGTAGGGATGATATCCACAAGTTTACAGAAATTGGTTTTAGGAAATAAACAGCGATAGTTAATAAATAAAAGAATAGTAAAGTCAAAAACTAGAATTCTCTCTCAATCTGTCTCTCACCGTGTGTGTGTGTGTGTGTGCGTGCGTGCGTGTCTGCTTGCAAGTGTGTTATGTGTAGTTCGGAACTTCCAACTTCCTCAAAAGACCGCTGTATCACTGTCCCCTTCTCCTTGCGTGAATCTGTTCTCTCTCTCTCTCTCTCTCTCTTTCTCTCTCTCTCTTTCTCTGTCTGCCTCAGTCCCTGTCCCCCTCTCTCTACGTGAGTCTGTTCTCTCTCTCTCTCTCTCTCTCTCTCTCTCTTTCTCTGTCT